GTACGGCAAACATTTTACCGTCATCACTGATCATCAATCACTAATTAGCGCATAAAACGCCAGCGAACGATCAAAGACAAGTCAAAGCCGTCTCACCCGCTGGATTGATAGATTAATACCATTTCACTTTGATATCAAATATCTCGCAGGGAGTAAAATAGGATTAATAGACTATATGTCACGAAATCCGCGAAATCCGACTGGATTACCCTTACCCCCCAGCGAGTATGATGAGGAATTTGTAGTTGCGGCAATTGCCCTTACTACATTTATAAACAGCCTGGAAATGTCATCCTAAATTAATTGGCCAATCACAACAAAGCACCATATGACCTGATCAAAAACGTACGGAAAAAAAGGGGCTATTAACTGCTAGAACAAACGCTCAATTAACAACTAAACATTCCAAACATTCCACCAACGGTCAAATGCCACCCAAAAACAAAATTCAGTCTAATTCAAACTCTGTTCAAATTCAGTCAACATTTTCTTCAGCTAAGAATCAGTCAACACTCTCACATTCAAAAATTCTCAAACTCAACGAGCGTTCGTTCAACACGATAAAATTTCAAAACATGAGGCAAAAAAATACGCGAAACTACACAGGCATTTTCATCTCGAAAGAGTTAAAAACAAACAAACCACGCGGTCGTGCAGTTTCGATCGATTGGACGAATACTTCAGACCGAGAAGAGAGTCTCTCTGACCCAAAGTGACACAAACGACCACCAACAAAGGACAGGCAAATGAAGAAAAACAAATTTTCACCGAAACACACGCCAACCACAAAAGTGATCGACGCAAGAAGTCTGATCACAGGGACAAAACTACAAAATTCTCAAAGATTATTTTTGGAGACACCAAAACAGCAACAAAAGGAGGCAGCTCACAAACAACTGTGCCACTGATAACTCAGGCAACAACAGCTACACAAACAACGCCGAAAAACGAGATGGAAATCGAGAAATTCTCCACATCAACTCGAACAAATAGTAACACCGAAATTCAGCAGGAACAAGAAAAATATGTCAGCCGCGTGGATCCTACTGTATGCCTACAATAGGAAACATCACCCAATGTAGAACCCCAGACAGTGACTACTTCACTACAACTTGAGGCCAGCCACACGGAAATAATGGACACCGTGGTGGCCACTGTGAAGAAAGCCACCGAAACGGAGGAGGACACACCTTTTTATTTCGGCGCAAACTACAAAGAGTGCTACGAGTCCCATTCATCGTCGCCGCCACCAAGAAAGACAGAAACTTGCGCCCACTGATAAACTTCGTCAAGAAGCGGGACTGGGATGCCATCAAAGCTTCATATGGCCAGTACTGGTTCAATATACGAAATCGCCTCCATGTTCGAGAAGACTGCTTCCTCGTCGATGAAAGGGTCGTAATCCCTTCACAACTCCGACAAACAATACTGGAGAGTATTCATCTCACACACCCGGGATTGGCAGCCATGTTGAATGTGGGCCAACATTTCTGGTTGGCACAAAACTGCAAACAGTGCACGGAGCAAGGTAAAAATTTAAAACCCATCCTAGGCAAAAATTCGTCATTCCAAATGGAGCCGGCAAGTCGAACCCAATGAGAAAGTACAGTTAGATTTTGCGGGGCCTCTACGAGACGAACTAATTAGAGATGCTTAAATTCTAGTAGCAATCTATAAATGGTCAAAGTTCCCGATAGCAAAAGTTGTTGAATGGATGATTCAAACAATTAAACGTAGATTAGCGGTAATGAGAATAGACCAAAAAATTCACCACGTAAATTAGCTTCGGATGATGCAGAATTAATCAAAACGCTGAGAATTACACCACACGGTGTCACAAAAATTTCTCCTTTTGAAGCACATATGGGTAGAAAACCAAACACACCATCCTCAAACATAGCCACAAATCGCTCACCTAATAACTTAAAATGGGAAAACGCAAAACATGCATGTTTAGATCGAAAGAACCTTGAAAAGGCGCCGCTATCAGTAGAAGTCATGCATGACCTCGAGAGATGGTCATAGGACGAAGTACAAATTCGCAAGAAAGTGACACAACAAAAAGTCCCGCATAAAGCAACACCGAGGACACTCGAAATCATCGCCACAGCCAGAAACAGGTGCATATACAGAATCTATGGAGCTAGCAAAAAACAAATTTACTGTAAGATATAAGGGTGTACAAGGAACGGTCGATAAAAAAATCAAAAAACGCTTAGAACAAGTGGCACGAAAAACCATTCGGATAGCAACCAAAGTAAAAAACCCCAAAACATTTGAACAAAAATACAAAACAATAGACGGGAAAATCCTCACATACACACCACATACTGCTTGGGTACGATCTTTTGGCAAACAGCCAAGGCTCCTAAGGAATAGTGGCACCGCCTTTGTCCCCCACCCGGTAATATACGGACCTTGCAGACCTTCTCGTTTGAGTGATTACGTTGCATACAAATCCGCACGGAGAACGGTACCAAGCTTACGTTTTTTTAGACATCAACGATCCACAAGCTCCCCAACACCCTATGTTCAAAGAGGACACCAGAACAAAGCTCCCGGTGAAATTATCAAGTCAGGAGAAAACACGGGGACAGGGCACGAGCAAAACCAGTCCCGCAAAGAGGAAGGCACTGGGAAAACGAACCGGAGGAAAGCCCACAAGAAACATACAAACCTCAAGAGGAATGAGTCTTCAAACGGAGACCGAAAAGACAACTAATCCACGAAAATAAGACGACATGTCTTCCACATCGGAGGAAAATAACTCACCCTCACCGAAGCGACAGAACCAAAAAAAAACACCGCCTGGAATCGCAACAAGGAAGTCAACAAGGGCCCGACAGGCGACTCTAGCAAAAGCTTTAGGAAACCCTATCCCAATCAACACTATACAGAACATAAGCAAAGCAGGGATGAAGCATTTTAAAATCGATTCACCGCCCGAGAAAACACCAGATACACCAAGCCTGAAAATTTTAACCCAAGAAATGGGATTTTGCGAAAAACCCCCGGAAGACAAAGCCTGCATACAATTCATCCAGGCAATTAACTTCTCCAGCGGAGGCCGATGTTGGAAAGATGGACAATGATGTTATGTATAGCAAAACTTCGAAAAATATAGAAGACCCAGAAAACGAACAATCAAACAATGAAGAGGAACACGGAGCGATAGATGATATCAATGATAACGACATGAGAGAACAAAGAGGAGGGAAATAAAGATAAAAACAACACAGGATAAACAGACCTACGGGGACGTTAGAACTCAAATAAACTTTACCATTTTCTCGAGGACGGGGAATGTCATCCGGCATGGATAGACAAAACCCCACACAAAACTTATTTTGTATTTATATACCATTTATGTTATGATATTATATGACATTAATGTGTACTGGTCGATTGACCTTGATACGAGAACGGCGTCTGACGAGAAAAATTTATTATCCTGTTTTCTTATCGCAGGAAAAACCAAATTTTTTGAACATACTGACTAAGTAAACTCCAACTGTTGGTGCAAAAATTTATGCATTCTTAACTCAGACCTGTCCACTTAGAAAATGTATGTAAGCTTTTCTGTTGGTTAAAGAACTCTTTTTTGCTGACAATATACAAACGTCGAGAGCTTCATTTTAAACTGAAGGACTCTTTTTTAGACCCTCTTACAGCCTAAAATTGACAAACATCCTCTTGCGGCAAAAAATTTCTTTTCAGACAACGTAAAAAAGTTTAGTTTGACGACCCTCATTTGGTCACCCTGACGTTGGTCCATTTGAAAAAGATGGTGAAAACTTTTTTTGAGGACAAGCATCGATTTGGAGGTTTGTTCTTTTTTCATATTTGATACAATTTCCCAAAAAACGCATGTCTGTCGACTGTACGACAAAACGTTGGTTTTTGACACAGCATCTCAAAAAACGACAGTTTTTCTGCCAGCAGTCGGAATAAAAATAATGAAAAACGATCTACCGCATTTTAGAATGTGTTGTTCTCAAAAATTAGCTTGGTAGGTTGGGATGTTGTTTATGGCTAAATTTTCAAAAGCAATTCTATCATGATAGTTTATGACAGTTTTCAAAATAAAGAAACTCTAGAAAAATACATTTGACAAATTAAATTGCTTTTAATAAGATAAATATGAAAAATTTTGATTCAAAAGAAGCATTGAAACTTTCTGGCTCACTTCTATTCTTTTTCTGATTCCACTTTTCTTTTATGAAAAATCTACAAAAAACTAAGTATATTTTTGTTATAACAAGATAGAGTGCTTTCTTTCCAAAAAAATGCAACCACATAAAATACAAAATAGTTGTTTTGTAAGTTTCAGGAAAGTGCTTTGTTAACTTTGATAAATCGGGGGTTCGACTTAAAATCAATTGGTAAACTTTTGACATACGCTAATTTTCTTCGAAATATTTGCACCACTCCCGTACTACGTCAAAAGATTTTATTAATGACGCAATATGGTTCCATTAATCTGCCTTCAGCTCCATTATGGCCCGGCGAAAGCTAATGGGTTGAGTTGTTAAATTGCTCTCCGTGGTACTTAACAGCCACTTAAAGATCAGTGCTGCAATCAATCACTCTGACATAATCCGGCTAATCGGATTTTGGTGATGCAATAATGACTTCTCAGATGAAGAGAGTTTTGAAACGTTTTTAGAAAGGTGTAAAATTTATCTTTTTTGTTTGTTCATGATTTATATGCAACGGATCCATTTTTTCAATCAATAATTTCGGAATAAGTTTGCTAGAAACGATCATTTTTTGATGATAAAATGACTTCTGCTATACAGAATATTGAAGAAAAACTGGCAAATTATTTCAAAGAGGCGTGCAAACGGGCAAAAAGGGATAACCTATCGAATTGAGTTACAAATCGGTCAGCTAAGTCAAGTAAATTTTGCAGCACAAAGAAGGCAATTAGAGTTACGGACGCTATTATGGAAATATCTACAGTACTATCCATCGAAGTGTCTTTGAGCGCGGAAGAGCTGAGTGGAAAAAGTATCTTCAAAACAAGATCCTGAAAAGCTTACGTGTGTGCAATCGTGAACTCCATTTTGCAAAATTGGGTGTCATTTCAAGAAGCGTTGTGCACATTTGTATCATTGTGACATTAAGATGCACATGTAACTTAAGGTCTAACTAAAATAAGTATTAGTTATTATTATGCTTTTGAACATTATCCTGCATGGAACTTTTTGTAAAAATTATGCGACAGTTTTATAGCTGTAAAACGTTTGCCAGCATGAATGAGAAGCCAGAAAGCTTGAGTTAAAAGGAAATGTGAAACACATGGGGCAGAATCTGGTTGAATAAAATGGAAAATTATTGTAGACAATTTGAGAAAACATATAGTTCAGTTTTTGCTGGAGAAAAACCAAGTTTGATCAGCAAAAAAAGTTACAGAATATAGCATTGCCCGGGTTACCTGTCCAGGAAGTCCATCCCTGGAGCCATCCCTGCAGCCAGATCTGGCCAGGGGAAAAAACCATGAAAGAGTCTTGCAATGATTACTGTGACCGCGCTTCACTCAAACCCTAAAATATCTCACAAAAAAATCAGTAAAACATGAATTAACCAAATTTAATTAATTCTGGAAGCGGCAAAAATCGTAGAATTTGTCGATATAAACAAACAAATCAAACAACAAAATTGGCACATTTACGGCTTAACGTGTTAACATAACAGTTTTTTTTGTGATATACGGTAAGTCAAATACATACGGCAATAACCTATCAGACAAGGTCAGACAAAGTCAGACAAGGTCAATTTGCTATGTTATTTTTTATTAGTTTTAGTTATAATACATTTTGGTTCAATTTAAAAACACTAGTTTTTTGGAGGGCTCGAAGCAGCTCTTTTTCCTTTTCGCGCCCAACTGCAATTTTTAAGTAAAAATTTTGTTCGCATTGTCCGATTGTCTTGAAAGTAGACATGCAAATAAATTAGGCCATGCCAAACATATTGTCAACATAACAGCCTTTTTGTGATATGCGGTAAATTACATACAGACGGCAATAACCTGTCAGACAAGGTCAGACAAGGTCATTTTGCTATGTTTTTTTATTAGTTTTAGTTATACATACATTTTGGTTCAATTTAAAAACATTAGTTTTTTTGGGGGGGGGGGGGGGGGGCTCCAACTAGCTCTTTTTTCTTTTCCGCCCACCTACAATTTTTTTATAATTCAAATTACTGTTTGCGTTGTCCGATTGTCATGAAAATTGACATGCAAATAAATTAGGCCATAACAAACATATTAATAAGCCTTGTAAAAGCACTCTTTAGACCATAAAATTGATGCTCATCTGATGTGGGGGGAGGAGAGAAAAAAGAGCCTCGAACATACGCAGAAGCGGTCTGCTCAGTTTTTTAGGCTTTGTTCTAGACTACTCTGCCAGCTGACCTTAATATACTTTAGTTCATTTTACTCGGTTTTAATTTCTCGCTTATGAGAGGGTATTTGCGTGTCAACGTCCTCCGTCCCCAAGGAAGCGAGGACGGACGCGAGTCTTACTGCCGGACGGGTAATGTCACCATTCAAGATTTTTAGCACGGTGGAATCGGCCACCCCGTCTCTTCCGAAGTTAAGCGTTCTAATGCGTGCTAAAGGATAATAACCTCGGGGGTGGGCGGACTCTACTATCCACAGTAAATCGTCTGTCTTGAGTTCCTGTTCAGGAGAGGAGTGCCACTTGGCTCGCTTATTGGGGACATGGCACATACTGGCCTAGCCATTGTGACCAAAATGCAATTGCATATGCCTGCGCAAGCACGAAACCGTTTTCTGTGGTTGAAATCTTCCGCAAAGCTTAAGGAGAGGAATTTTACACGTGGCTGCCAAAGCAGGAAGTAGTTAGGCGTAATAGCTTCCAAGTTATCCGGATCACTGTTTATTGGAGTCAGTGGTAGCGCATTTAAAGATTGCTCGACCAAGCAGTTTTATAGCTGTAAAACGTTTGCCAGCATGAATGAGAAGCCAGAAAGCTTGAGTTAAAAGGAAATGTGAAACACATGGGGCAGAATCTGGTTGAATAAAATGGAAAATTATTGTAGACAATTTGAGAAAACATATAGTTCAGTTTTTGCTGGAGAAAAAGCCACTACGGAGAAAAACCAAGTTTGATCAGCAAAATAAGTTACAGAATATACCATTGCCCGGGTTACCTGTACAGGGAAGTCCATCCCTGGAGCCATCCCTGCAGCCAGATCTGGCCAGGTGAAAAAACCCTGTCAGAGTCTTGCAATGATTACTGTGACCGCGCTTCACTCAAACCCTAAAATATCTCACAAAAAAATCAGTAAAACATGAATTAACCAAATTTAATTAATTCTGGAAACGGCAAAAATCGCAGAATTTGTCGATATAAACAAACAAGTCAAACAACAAAATTGGCACATTTACGGCTTAACGTGTTAACATAACAGTTTTTTTTTTTTGTGATATACGGTAAATCACATACATACGGCAATAACCTATCAGACAAGGTCAGACAAAGTCAGACAAGGTCATTTTGCTATGTTTTTTTATTAGTTTTAGTTATAATACATTTTGGTTCAATTTAAAAACACTAGTTTTTTGGGGGGCTCGAAGCAGCTCTTTTTCCTTTTCGCGCCCACCTGCAATTTTTATAATTAAAAATTTTGTTCGAATTGTCCGATTGTCTTGAAAGTAGACATGCAAATAAATTAGGCCATGCCAAACATATTGTCAACATAACAGCTTTTTTGTGATATACGGTAAATCACATACAGACGGCAATAACCTGTCAGACAAGGTCAGACAAGGTCATTTTGCTATGTTTTTATTAGTTTTAGTTATACATACATTTTGGTTCAATTTAAAAACACTAGTTTTTAGGGGGGGCTCCAACCAGCTCTTTTTTCTTTTCCGCCCACCTACAATTTTTTTATAATTCAAATTAGTGTTTGCGTTGTCCGATTGTCATGAAAATTGACATGCAAATAAATTAGGCCATGACAAACATATTAATAAGCCTTGTAAAAGCACTCTTTAGACCATAAAATTGATGCTCATCTGATGTGGGGGGAGGAGAGAAAAAAGAGCCTCGAACATACGCAGAAGCGGTCTGCTCAGTTTTTTAGGCTTTGTTCTAGACTACTCTGCCAGCTGACCTTAATATACTTTAGTTCATTTTACTCGGTTTTAATTTCTCGCTTATCAGAGGGTATTTGCGTGTCAACGTCCTCCGTCCCCAAGGAAGCGAGGACGGACGCGAGTCTTACTGCCGGACGGGTAATGTCACCGTTCAAGATTTTTAGCACGGTGGAACCGGCCACCCCGTCTTTTCCGAAGTTAAGCGTTCTAATGCGTGCTAAAGGATAACAACCTCGGGGGTGGGCGGACTCTACTATCCACACTAAATAGTCTGTCTTGAGTTCCTGTTCGGGAGAGGAGTGCCACTTGGCTCGCTTATTGGGGACATGGCACATACTCGCCTAGCCATTGTGACCAAAATGCAATTGCATATGCCTGCGCAGGCACGAACCGTTTTCTGTGGTTGAAATCTTCCGCAAAGCTTAAGGAGAGGAATTTTACACGTGGCTGCCAAAGCAGGAAGTAGTTAGGCGTAATAGCTTCCAAGTTATCCGGATCACTGTTTATTGGAGTCAGTGGTAGCGCATTTAAAGATTGCTCGACCAAGCAGTTTTATAGCTGTAAAACGTTTGCCAGCATGAATGAGAAGCCAGAAAGCTTGAGTTAAAAGGAAATGTGAAACACATGGGGCAGAATCTGGTTGAATAAAATGGAAAATTATTGTAGACAATTTGAGAAAACATATAGTTCAGTTTTTGCTGGAGAAAAAGCCACTACGGAGAAAAACCAAGTTTGATCAGCAAAATAAGTTACAGAATATACCATTGCCCGGGTTACCTGTACAGGGAAGTCCATCCCTGGAGCCATCCCTGCAGCCAGATCTGGCCAGGTGAAAAAACCCTGTCAGAGTCTTGCAATGATTACTGTGACCGCGCTTCACTCAAACCCTAAAATATCTCACAAAAAAATCAGTAAAACATGAATTAACCAAATTTAATTAATTCTGGAAACGGCAAAAATCGCAGAATTTGTCGATATAAACAAACAAGTCAAACAACAAAATTGGCACATTTACGGCTTAACGTGTTAACATAACAGTTTTTTTTTTGTGATATACGGTAAATCACATACATACGGCAATAACCTATCAGACAAGGTCAGACAAAGTCAGACAAGGTCATTTTGCTATGTTTTTTTATTAGTTTTAGTTATAATACATTTTGGTTCAATTTAAAAACACTAGTTTTTTGGGGGGCTCGAAGCAGCTCTTTTTCCTTTTCGCGCCCACCTGCAATTTTTATAATTAAAAATTTTGTTCGAATTGTCCGATTGTCTTGAAAGTAGACATGCAAATAAATTAGGCCATGCCAAACATATTGTCAACATAACAGCTTTTTTGTGATATACGGTAAATCACATACAGACGGCAATAACCTGTCAGACAAGGTCAGACAAGGTCATTTTGCTATGTTTTTTATTAGTTTTAGTTATACATACATTTTGGTTCAATTTAAAAACACTAGTTTTTAGGGGGGGCTCCAACCAGCTCTTTTTTCTTTTCCGCCCACCTACAATTTTTTTATAATTCAAATTACTGTTTGCGTTGTCCGATTGTCATGAAAATTGACATGCAAATAAATTAGGCCATGACAAACATATTAATAAGCCTTGTAAAAGCACTCTTTAGACCATAAAATTGATGCTCATCTGATGTGGGGGGAGGAGAGAAAAAAGAGCCTCGAACATACGCAGAAGCGGTCTGCTCAGTTTTTTAGGCTTTGTTCTAGACTACTCTGCCAGCTGACCTTAATATACTTTAGTTCATTTTACTCGGTTTTAATTTCTCGCTTATCAGAGGGTATTTGCGTGTCAACGTCCTCCGTCCCCAAGGAAGCGAGGACGGACGCGAGTCTTACTGCCGGACGGGTAATGTCACCGTTCAAGATTTTTAGCACGGTGGAACCGGCCACCCCG